GCAGCTCTGGCACCGCTGAGGCTTCAGGGCATTAGGGTGCTCAATTATATCGACGACTGGCTGATTTTAGCACAGTCACAGGAGCTGGCGGTTCGGCATCGAGATGTCGTCCTCGCCCACATCCAGAGCCTGGGGTTGAGACTCAACACGAAAAAGAGCGTGTTGACACCAGCCCAGAGAACTACGTTCCTGGGAGTGGTGTGGGACTCGGTCACGATGCGGGCACAATTGTCTCCCGCGCGGATCGAGTCCATCCTGACCAGTGTCCGGGATAAGGCTAGGCCAAGCCATCACTGTAAAGCACTTCCAGAGAGTGTTGGGGCTCATGGCAGCAGCATCCAGTATCATTCCATTCGGCCTGCTGCACATGAGGGCCCTTCAGTGGTGGTTAAAAACCAAGGGGTTCTCCCCGAGGGGAAACCCATTCCGCATGATCAGGGTTACGCGCAGATGCCTTCGTTCCCTATCTATGTGGAAGAAAGCTTGGTTTCTGTCCCAAGGGCCAGTGTTGGGAGCGTCATGTCGCTGGAGAACCGTTTCGACAGACGCCTCCCTCACGGGCTGGGGCGCGGTCCAGTGTTGCCAGATTGGGACGGTGATTTCCAGCCCAAAAGCTCACCAAAACCCGCCCACTACAAGAAAAAACCGCCCAAAATTTTACTGCCAAAATAATGTGATATAATTTCATTACCATGTCATGTAAGGTTGATAAGCACAATTTGTATCTCCTTAAAACAAAATAACGATGATAAAATAAAATAAAAAATAAATAAATTTTCCAGCAAAACAGATCAAAACAGGGCAATAATTAAGGAGAATTAGCCAATATGACTAAAATGTCCAGGTGGACACTGTCAAAACGGCAATCAAGAAATGAACCGATGACTTTAACCCTCGGAAGTACACATTGCAGAACATAACGCAGAATTTAGCAGTCAAAACGGATTCATCGTTGATTCAAACAAACCTTTTTCAGCAGCTGTCAGGGACAAGTAGAGTGCAGTCTGGATGGTGTAAAGTTGCAGATGTTTGGTTAGGCTAGTGTGCACATATGACATGGACAGGAATCGTCCCATATTTGATTTCAATTCAAGTCATTCAGCTGTGCTCTCCTCTCAGAGAGTGATCTCCTTCCACGTGTGCGTTTTTTAGAGTTGCTCACTACTGTACACTCTTTTGTATAGTAGGCTATGTCACTTTGCCTTAGCGATCACTTGAATATGCAGCTACAACTTCTCGCGCTCAATCGCGTCTGCCTGCGGATCGCTGATTGGCTAAAAGTGCGTGCTCGTCGTCGGTGATGTCAACACTAACGCCAGCTGATTCTGCATGAGCGTGTGTGTACAGTAATGTCATGATGACTGATTTTATGGACTACATGCACTTTAGTTTCGTTTTTTTTAACCAATTAGACTTTAAAATGTAGATGTTTGAAAACCGCCGAAATGATCCCAAACCAGCCCAAATTTTGACCACCCGCCCAAACCCTTTTTTACCCGCACAATCAAATTCAAAACCGCCCAATTGGGCGGGAACCCGCCCAATCTGGCAACACTGGCGCGGTCATGGACGGCCGCTTTACGACAGGCCTATGGCAGGACCATCATGCCTCCTGGCACATAAACTGCCTGGAGATGTTGGTGGTGTTCCGAGCTCTGAGGAGCTTCCTGCCGGACCTCAAAGGCCATCATGTCCTTGTGAGGTCAGACAATATGTCGGTAGTGGCCTATATAAACCATCAGGGGGGTCTGAGGTCTCGCCCTCTATGCAGACTGGCGCATCAGATCCTCCTGTGGTCCCAGGGGAAGTTGTTGTCTCTAAGAGCAACATTCATCCCGGGGAGTCAAAATCAGGGAGCAGACATCCTGTCGAGACAGGGGCTGAGGCCCGGGGAGTGGAGACTCCACCCCGAGGTGGTGGAGTCAATATCTCAGAGGTTCGGCCCAGTGGACTTGTTCGCGTCTCGAGAGACGACCCACTGTCCACTGTGGTTTTCCCTCTCCCATCCAGCCCCGCTGGGGTTGGATGCCATGGTGCAGACGTGGCCGAGGCTACGTCTGTACGCATTTCCCCCGATCGCTCTGCTCCCGGGAGTTCTAGATGGAGTCCGTCGCGGCGGGATCAGTCTACTGTTGGTTGCCCCGTTGTGGCCGGCCCGAGTATGGTTCTTCGACATAATTTTGCTCCTGGACGGCCCTCCTTGGGAGATTCCCCTCAGGAGGGACCTGCTGACACAGGCAGAGGGCTCAGTATTTCACCCTCGCCCCGAGTTATGGAAACTGTGGGTCTGGCCCCTGAGGGGGCACAGTACCTAGAGGCCGGCCTATCAGCTGGAGTAGTGGAGACCATACTCGGCTCTAGAGCTCCATCCACGAGGAAATTGTACGGCTTAAAGTGGAACGTCTTCACCGTTTGGTGTAGGGAGCGTGAGGTGGACCCAGTTAACTGCCCATTGGCTTCAGTGCTGGAGTTCCTCCAAGATCACTTCTCCACTGGTCTTACCCCGTCCACACTCAAGGTGTACGTGGCTGCCATTGCGGCTTTCCACGCTCCTCTGAGTGATGGGCCTCTGGGGAGACACCAGTTGGTCGTACGTTTCCTCCGTGGGGCATGGAGGATGAGACCTGCGGCTCGTACCAGGGTTCCCACATGGGACCTGGCAGTGGTTCTTGAAGGGTTGGCTGAGGCCCCCTTCGAACCGCTAGAGTCGGCCAAGAACTTGTCGCTGAAGGTGGCTTTTCTGTTGGCCATTACTTCTCTGAGGAGGGTAGGAGATCTCCAGGCGCTCTCCATATCTAACGGGTGCCTGGAGTTTGCTCCAGGCAACATTAAGGCCATTCTTCACCCTAGGCCCGGCTATTTGCCTAAGGTGCCGTCCAGTGCGGCACGGCCTACGGTTCTGCAGGCTTTTCATCCTCCACCTCACGTGACGGCAGATGAAGAGAGACTTCACTTGCTCTGCCCTGTCAGAGCACTGAGTATTTACATTCAGAGGTCCTCTTCATGGCGGAAGTCGGACCAGTTGCTGGTGTGTTTCGGGTCGCCCAGGAAGGGGCTTCCCGCCTCAAAACAGACCATCAGCAACTGGATTGTCCATGCGATTTCCACGGCCTACCAGGTGCGCGGTTTGCCTTCACCTTTGGCCGTGAGGGCTCATTCCACCAGAGGTATGGCGTCCTCTAGAGCCCTTCTCGCGGGGGCCCCCATCCAGGAGGTCTAGGGCAGGCAGGGTACGTTGTGGCGTAATGGGTACTCCTTCCCCCAAAGTGTCATTCGACGCAGTTGGGAGTTCCCTCGAAAGGGAACGTCCTCGGGTTACGACTGTAACCCTTGTTCCCTGAGAAGGTAACGAGAACTGCGTCCCTTGGCCATGCCTTCCCCTGCCTGGGAGCGCTTGCCTCATCACAGAGGCTGACATTTTGTTTTGCCGGCGTCCCTTTATAGTTCCGCCTATGTGTCGTCACACATTACGTCATGACGTTGCACCAATTGGAGATCGGCTCAGTTTCATTCATGGTTCAGAGGCGCTACACCAGGGGTGCCCAATCCTGCTCCTGGCGATCGACTGTCCTGCACAGTTCATCTCCAACCCTAATCAAACACACCTGCCTTTAATTTTCAAGTGATCCTGACGTGCTCTGAAGACCTTAATTGGTTGCTTCAGGTGTGTTTGATTAGGGTTGGAGATGAACTGTGCAGGACAGTCGATCGCCAGGAGCAGGATTGGGCACCCCTGCGCTACACTGAGGGGCGTTCCCCCAAAGTGTCATTCGACGCAGTTCTCGTTCCCTTCTCAGGGAACAAGGATTACAGTCGTAACCCGAGGACGTTTTATCTTTAACAATGAACAATCAAAATGACAGAAAACATAAATATGGGTTTGCACCCATCATAATATAAGATTATATACACAGGAAAAAAGAACAATGACAAGTTTAAATATCTTTGAAAAATACATAAAAACTGATTTTTTTGTTGTTGTTATTTACAAGCCTGAGGGATGAAACATTCAACAAGAAAAAGAGGAAATCATAAAGGACAGCCCTTGGGGGCCCAAAAGGGCTTTTTGCTTGTGGGTGAACATTTTGGATATAAAATAAAGAAATTAACAACATATTCAAGAGATGACGATTTGGGGTTTTTGTAATAAAAAATTATATCTTTAAGGATAAAACTGTGGGTCACATTAGAAGGGTTAAAAATAAAAATATAAGAACTTAAATTGACCATAAATGTATTGGTTATACTACAATCACAAAATAAATGGGCTGTTTCTTCAACAAAACCACAAAATAAGCCTAAGCAAGTTTCATCAATATCAAGATATTTACAGAGATTAATTAAACCTGACGCTCGTATATTTTAAGTTGTTGCACTTGTGATAACGCGTCGTAGGTCACATGATAACGTCAACATGGCAGATGTCCGGTTCGCATTCATACTCAACGAGATCAGGCTATAAAGTACCTACTCTTTTAGCGCTCGTTAAGTAAGTACTTATTGCAATTAAGTACCTACTCATCGAGTATGCGGTTTCGAACGTAGCCATCATCTTATCTAATGGTCGCCCTGCCGACTGCTCTCTTGCCTATTTTGGGGGTAAATTTCCTTACTTAAGAGTGGGCTTTACAGCTTATTTGTTAAATGTAACAAATAGTTATGTGTCTGATTGTCTCAGTTGTTACATCACTAATGTATTTTGGTGCAACACCAGATAGAGCGTTGTACACAAAAACAGCAATTTTAAAATCAATCCTAAACTTTACAGGAAGCCAATGTAAAGTCGGTAAAATTTACACAAACACACGACACATTCTGTGAAAACCCACAGTTAGAAGATTAAACAAGAGTGCCAGGGAAATAAGTAACATAACATATACAAACATAAATGACATAAATTCATAATAATAATAATAAAATGAATAAATGATGACATAGTGTAAATCAAATGACAAATACATATACATATGACTAATGATTATAAATTATTAAACTGAATTAAATCAAAGAAAATAAAGCACAAAACAGATGTATGGTTGAATTAACACACACACACACACACACGTTTCTATTGAGAATCATGAGATCCTTCATTTACACAGGAATTGATCAACAAACTGTGAGATTGATTAATTCTCTTGAATATGTGTTATTCCCCACAACTTTGACTTTCTGTTCCTGTATTTCTTTCATTGTTGCTTCTAACTTTCGCATCTTTGTCTTTTGAGATCTTTGAATGTCTTAAATTCAGTTTTGAGTTGAAAGTCTTGGATTTGTTCATCCAGACATTTTTGCAGTGAGTCTCATTGTGTCTCAGATTTCCTCCCTCTTCTCTGTTGGTATATTTGCCTGTTTTTTCTGGGTTTCTCTTTATTTCACTGACAGAAGTTCAGCTGTAGTATTAATGTAATGAGGAGAACGTAAGAGACTATAACATCTGACTGCTACTGTCACCATTACCTGTATGTCTCTGTCTTCATGGACTCTTATTTTGAATTCATTTTGTCTTGTGTTTGGTTTTCAGTTCCTGTGGTTTAGTTCCCGGTTCCTGTGTTTCCATTTCCATAGCAACACTTGTTTGTAACCATGACAACTTCTCACCATCACCTGTCCTTCATTTAGTCTCTTGTTATCTTGTGTATTTAAACCCCTCAGTCATTATATGTTCATTGTCTTGTTTTAATGTTTCCTGTTGCTGTTTATCCCTGATGTTTATTAAATATAAGTGTTCATCGTCTTTCTGCATCAAGCCTCTTATCTCGGATTATCTAGTCAAGCCAGCGTGTGACAGTCACTGATTTATCATGAAGCTTAAAGCATTATGGGCAGAATTTCTCTACAGTCTATTCTGATTCATCAACAAGTTTCACTGATGATCTAGAATAAAGCCTAAACCCAGGATAGAGCATCTGAGTGAATGTGGTGTGGACTGTGTGTATGAGGCTCATTGTGTCAGAGACGCTGTAGAAGGACAGAGTTCCTGCACTGTGATCCACATACACTCCTATTCTCCTGCTGATGGGCTCTACAGGGAGTTCAGTCTCTATGTTATTGTGTCTGAATGAGTAACTGGAGGAAGAGCAGTACAAACTCCAGGACTGATCATTAGATCCAAACCGACACTTATTACACCGTCCCTTCCTGCTCATGCTCTTATATGACACTGATATAAACACACTTCTCCCACGCCACTCAATCTCCCAGTAACAGCGTCCACACACACGCTCTCTACACAACACCTGCTGAAACACATCAAATCTGTCTGGATGATCAGGATACGGCTGGACTGTGAAAGTGTCAGTGAATTTAATCACTCTGTTCTTCTCAGACAGATGAAGGTTTTTATGTGCTGTGTTCAGATCCAGATTGAGCTGATGGGAATCTAATGGAGATAAAACATATCAGAATCAGTTATGAATCTGATCTTTTAATTTGTTAAACAATTAAAATGAGTTAAAACCACACATTTAATGAACATTTTGTCTTTACCTAATTTTATTGTGTAAAATCCACTTTAATACGCAAAACTGAAGTTTACTTAATTCATTTGAACTACCTAAATAATTAGTGTTGAATTAACTTAAACTGGGCAGTGGATTTTTAGTTCCCAGCATGCTTTGCATAGGTCTTGACCAGGAGAGTAAATGTTGAAATTAAGTGCTATTTTATGTGTTTTTAAAGGAAATGCCTGTTAGTGTTTAATGTTCAGTTATGTTTGATATGTAAAAGCGTTTCAGTTATGTCAGTTTTGTTCAGAAGAGTGTTTGTGTTCAGGCTGTGAGAGGCGACATGACAAACATTATGTGTCGCACTGAAACGAGTCTCTTCTTACTTCTTCATCCCGTATGTTACATACAATTACAATAAACATAAGTGTCTTTAGCATTTGCTAGTTATTATCTACAGCAGGAACTTAAATCTATTAGGTTGGTTCAACAAAACATTATTTGTTTATTGAACTAATTTTGTTTTGTTAAGCCTTTCTCTGCAAGCATGTCAAAAAATAAGCCGATCAGATTTCACTCCCCTTCTGACGTAGGAAGGGGATCTTATTATAATATTACCGCCCCTTAATCTGCACGTTTCCACCCACGCCGCCGCCATTTGTTTTTTTCAAGCGACAACAGTGTAACCAGTTCTAACGCAATGGCAAAAGATCCAGCAAGGCATGAAACTGTTCTGTCGTTGCTGCACAGACGAGCACATAACACTATTTGACCAAAACATTTCACAGCTGTCTTATAAAGGTATGAAGGAAATTGACAGGGTTCGGCTAAAAAAGGGAACTCAACTGGAGCAAAAAAAATGGGCACATATCCAGTCCATTGGAGGGGAATGGCGCAGCAAGCCGACACAACGAACCGGGCTTACAGTGAAACTGGCTTCATGGGAAGCAGCGGTTCGACAGGTGTCGCCCCGGCCCCCAACTCTAGAATATCTGTCAGTGAAGCACTCTGTGTCAACGCCTAGGCGGGAGCACACACTCATTTAAGAGGAGCTCACCACCTAAGTGGACATGTGCATCTCGGGATATTCACCAAGATGAAGACAGCCACATTTCCAGTGGGCCAACCTCGCTTGGAAACAGCCTTCCCTCTCTGCTGATTTCCTTAACAGATAAGAGCTGGTATGAGGTTCTAAGGCTTGCATTCTGTGCACGTATAAACGCAATGAAGCCTGCCTCCTACGGGGCAGCGCTTGCAGTTTCACCACCTGGTCCCAGTTTGAAGGGAGAGGTAGGAACCATGAGCACATATCCAGATCGGGGTCTCAGCTCGTGAGAGTTAGCCGGCCCGAATTCCAGGCACAAGTCATTGACCGAAAGCAAGCAAGTCCCTACCCTCTAGTAGAGACCATGCGAGCATGAGAACTGTTTAAAAACAGAATTTTTAACTCACTGCCTGCAGTGGCTCAGGGGCGGTCTCTGTAGTGCAGTAGCACCAGAGATAGGCCCAAGAGCCAGCAGCCATATCACCCTGTAGCCCAAGACTGGTTGCCCACTGAAGCTAAGCAGGGCTGAGCCTGATTAGTACCTGGATGGGAGACCTCCTGAGAAAACCAGGTTGCTGCTGGAAGAGGTGTTAGTGAGGCCAGCAGGGGGTGCTCACCCTGTGGTCTGTGTGGGTCCTAACGCCCCAGTATAGTGACGGGGACACTATACTGTCAAAGAGCACCGTCCTTTGGATGAGACGTTAAACCGAGGCCCTGACTCTCTGTGGTCATTAAAAATCCCATGCCACTTCTCGTAAAAGAGTAGGGGTGTAACCCCGGTGTCCTGGCCACATTCCACCCATTGGCCCCAGCCAATCATGGCCTCCTAATAATCCCCATCCACTGAATTGGCTCTATCACTCTCTCTCCTCTCCAACTATAGCTGGTGTGTGGTGAGCGCACTGGCGCCGTTGTACTGTGGCTGCCATCGCATCATCCAAGTGGATGCTGCACACTGGTGCTGGTTGAGGAGAGAACCCCTGATATGATTGTAAAGTGCTTTGGGTGTACAGTAGTACATATGAAAGCGCTATATAAATGCATCATTCATTCATTCATTCATTCAAGAGGATAAAGAGGGGCGCAGGGATGACCTCTGCTCCCTCAGGAACCTGACGATCAGAAAGTGCTTCCCATACTTCTGCATATGATGTTCGTCATCATATTGAGGGTGAAGGAACAGCCTACTCCAACCCAACTTGCAGGAAAGAGAGCACTGAAATGACCGAACGCTCTCGGGATCTCCTCAGGGAGAGAAGACTCATTCAACGAATAGGTTCCACTTCTAACTTAGCGAAGCACAACTGCCTTATCTTAAGGGGGTGCTTGCAGAAGTGATGGTCACTACCACATATCCTTGTGGTAGCCAGCTGAACCTACCCGTCCAGTTTTTTGAACGCGGGTGCAATCATGCCACGTCCCTGAAATGTATTCAGGGGAAGTCAGGAAGGCTGTCGAGGGAACTAGGTTTGGTTGGGCCAATAAGGGGCAACTATCAAGACCTGTTCCACTCCTGACTTAGCACAGTAGATGCAAGCGACATGCAGGCACAAGACAGGAACACTGCTCAACAGTACATGTGAAGATCACTGAGCTTCAGGAGCATCTCTGCTCAATACTTGAGTGTGATAAGTTCACTGAGCTCAGTTAATAACTTTAACTTTGCCTGTTTTTAAAGCCTGGATGCCCTTTTTTTTCGTGTTTAAAACGGCCAGCTATGTAGGCAGCATCGCATCTCTGAAAAAATTTCAGAGGATGCTGGGCTGTATGGCATCAGCTGCAGCAGTCCTTCAGCTGGGTCTGCTGCGCATGCGCCCGCTGCAACGCTGGTTGAACGCTCGTGTGCCTCACCGAGCCTGGGCATCCGGCGGCATACGAATCAGAGTGTCTCAGAGCTGCGTTTTAGCGCTGAGACCCTGGTTAGCGGCCGACTGGTACCAGCAGGGAGTGACAGTGGGAGCTGTCTCACACCGAAAACTGTTTGGAGATGATAGCGGTCGAGAACGAGCTGAAGCGCTTCCTCCCATACATACGGGGCCACCATGTTCTAGTCCGCTCGGACAATATGTCTGTGGTGTCCTACGTGAACAACTAGGGCGGTGTCAGATGCAGGAATCTCTGCAAACTGACAGAACGCCTTCTCGTGTGGGCCCATCACTCATTGCGCTCACTGAGAGCCGCGTATGTGCCAGGCCACATCAATGTCGGCCCAGTTAGACTGTCCAGGGACAACATTCCTCCGGGAGAATGGTCCCTGCACCCTCAGACAGTCCAGTTATTATGGAGCCTTTTCGGCAAAGCGGAAGTCGACCTTTTCGCGCCGAAAGACAACGCGCACTGCCCGAGATTTTTCTCCAGACCTGGCCCAGCTGCCCGCTGTACGCTTTCCCTTCCAATCTCGCTGTTACCACAGGTAATCAAGAGAATCAGGGAAACGTGCCACTCAGTGCTCCTCATAGCTCCGCGTTGGGAGAACCAAACCTGGTTCTCAGAGCTGGTGAGGCTGTCGCACGTAGCCCCATGGCCGATCCCAGTGAGGAGAGATCTTCTCTCTCAAGCCGGTGGATCGATTTGACATCCCCACCCGGAGCGCTGGTCTCTGCATGCATGGATAATCAACGAATACCCGTTGCTCTGCCAGAAGGGGTCGTAAACACGATCATACAGTCTAGAGCCCCTTCTACGAGAAGGCTCTACGCGTCTAAATGGTCAGTGTTCTCTGAGTGGTGCTCCACAAAAAGCCTGGACCCACACACGTGTGGTGGGTTTCCCTGGGATGCATGTAGTGGATGCTCGGCGCGCACGGCGTTGACAAGGGGTTCCCGTAGCGTAAGCAACTTACGCAATACGAGAGAACCTCTCGTAAGAGAACATATCGGTTACCTAACATAACCTCAGTTCTCTCTAGATGAGGGAACGAGTATTGCGTAACCTGCCGTGTTCGCGCCTTGAGCTTATTCGCTTCAGTCGATGAAAACCAGAGATCAGCCTGTCGAGCCCCTCTTTTATACACGCAAGCCACACCCATTCTGGCGGGCTGTGGCGCGTGGAGGGCGCGACGTCACGCGGGGCTCAGCGGTAGGCTGCTGCAGTTGCCGCAGGACAGTCAATGAGCACGCTTATTCAGCCTGCTATGGTCTGCTGTCTGCCGCACTGCGTTGACAATATATACAAAATTAAGGATAATTTTTGGCTTCAGATCTCAAGAAAACCCGTAGCGTAAGCAACTTTCGCAATACTCGTTCCCTCATCTAGAGAGAACTGAGGTTACGTTAGGTAACCGAGTAAGTTTTCTTTCACCTTCTACAGGAAGAACATGAACACACTCGGTGAGTTTTCTGCTTGTTTTCTTAGTGACTTACATTGTAGGAAGTCGTTCCTGGTCTTGGGAACAATGTTGGTGAAAGTGACTGTGGAAATCAACAGATGTGAAGAGTGTGATTATCATGTCAAGAGAAAATTATCCTTGCATCTGTTCCTAAGACATTTCTAATATGATCTTTTACAGGGTATGAGATGATTGAGGATCATTTCTGAGAGCAGAATCTCCAGGACTTTACCTCTGTCAGAGATCTTCTTCTCTTTGCAGAAATCCTCCAGTTTGTCTCTCAGCTGACGGACAGCATCTCTCACGCCATCAAAAGAGGAGAGAGAACTGAAGGGATTGTCATTTACGTCTGTAGATTCAGGAGGAGCTGAGAGAGACTGGAAACTCTACAGAAAACAGAAATCAAAGCTCATCACCTCCACACCTCATCAATAACCTGCTCTACTGTCAGATTTGTGCGGCTCTTGTTAATCTTTAGTAACTCCTCAATCCAGCCCTGCTCAAATTCATTGTATAATATTAGAGCTACAAATTCCAGCGTTTGCCATTTACACTATATGTGAACTTTCTAGGAAATCAATTAGATGATAAAGCATCTGAAAATAAAATAAATGTAACAGATCAAGCGCATCAGTGGTGTCACATTAATGGTTGTTTCCAGACACAGGTGAAATAGTTAACACTGTAACTTAATGACACTGCATTTTAGCAGAAAAATCACCATGTGCTAAGAACATTTAAGCACAAGACACATATTAGCATAAGAAAGATATCATTTTTAAATTTTATTAGAAAGACTGCGATCATGAATCCAAATGTTTAGTGTATATGGAAATTTTATATAAAATAATAATAATGACAGCAACAGCAAAATACCATGTTGGGTTGGTTATAACCACATTTAAAAAAAAAAACATTTGTCCAGAAACCATGAAAGTGATCCATTCCCAAATCTAAAGGTCAGTAATATACCAACATCTATCTTATATGAAATATTTTAAACAATCATAACCTTATCTGCTAACACTTTACAATAATGTTCAGTTATAAGTTTTTAGTTAATGACAAACTAATCATTTACAAAACATGACAATACATTCATATATTATTAATAAGTGGTAGGCTAACGATTTACAAATGTGATGTAAATTATCTTTAAAAATTAGTAAATCATGAAAAAATCTCCTGACACTAAGTCATTCATAAATGTTTATTCACTTGAATTTAAATAAATTATGCTTCTTAAAAATAGTGCTTCAACAGACCGCATGTTTGTCTTACAACTTCATGATACACCAATATTTAGAAACTACGGTGACCGGGAGGGGACATGTTTGGTTCACTTAGATTTGTCGTGGCCACGAGTTATTTACTTACTTTCGTGGGAAAGTCAAATTAACTTGTGGGAACGTGGTAATAAGTCGTGGCAACAAGATCATTTTGTCGAGGTAACGGCATCCTTATATATGGGTAGGGTTGGGTATCGTTTTTTAAAATTTTTATACCGGTGCCAAAACGATACTTTTAAAACGGTACCGGTGCCTAAACGGTGCTTGAACCGATACTTTTAAAAAACAAGAGAGCCTCAAAACGTTGGTGAATGACATTAAAGGGCCCCTATTATGGATTTTTGAAAATGACCTTTCATGTAGTGTGTAACATAGCCCTAAGTGAATGAAAACATCCTGCAAAGTTTTAAATCTGAAAGTGCACTCGTTTTTTCAAACGAGTCATAAGCCGTTTCGTTGTGACGTCAAGATAAAACATTAGCATATTGCCCGGCCACGTATCGCGCGCGCAGACACCAGGGAAAACTTGAACCTCAAACACTGCAGCTGATTCCTGCACTCAAAAAAATAATTCATTGGATGAACATGATTTAATCATGCCACCTATATTCCATCTAAACAAACCAAGTTAAGTCAACCAACCTTTATCATTTTATTTGAACACAAAATAGGTGCGTTGCTTAAACATGATATTAACATTTCCATTTAACTCATTTAAATCTTTTTTGAGTTATATGTTCAGTCTTAGTTAATTTAGTTAGATTACTTTTGAGTGTAGCTATTTGGTAGCAGCACATATTAGCATCTTAAATGCTAAGATTTACACGCTCCTTCAACCAAAGCAGTAGAAAATATGGAAATCAGTCCAAACAAAATGCTCCACTCTTCTCCACCATGGTAACCCACTGTAATTTAAAAGGTTCTAATAATTCCAATCTAATTTAAATTTAAACACAATTACACACTATCAAGTCTTCCCCTTTTCTCATTTTGTGTAGGTCTCCTGCTAACTGGCTAATTCATGTTATCACTGTCTTACTGAAATACTTCTGCTAATCAGTTGTGGGCCACTATTACGTTTGAGAATCATTGAAAATGTGGTGATCATTGAAAATGTGGTAACTCCAAAACAACATTAGGAAACTTTAAAATAGCATAATAGGGGCACTTTAAATAACGGCTTTTTTATTGAAAAGTAAATATATAAATATAAGTAGTCTAAATACAAAACACAACAAATTTACATAACAAATTCACAATAAAACCTAAGCCACCTAACCCAAATACAATAATTTAACAATAAATAACATTACAGTAGCCTACTAATAACAGCAAAGTAGTCTTTATTCGGTATGCTACAAACTAGCTTTAAATTTCAGCAAATCTTGTCACATATTTTGCCTTCTCTGGCTAAATACAACACCTCTCCTGACTTATTGCATGTCCTGCACAAGGTGAGCGTTATTTTAGAACGCATCACCTTAAATGCCGTGATTTGAAACCCATCGTGAAAGAACGCCGTCATTTACAACTGTGGCAATGAGCTCTTATCAGGATCAACTGAATGCTGGATTTCAAAAGTATGTGAAGTTCGCGGCTCTATTCTTGCAGAAAACCTGCACAAAGTTCTTGAATTAATAATTTATTAGATGCATGTCTGTTATTGTATGGACATCGACTTTACATTTTCACACTAAACATGACGTGGAAAAAAACAAACAGTGATTGGTTGCGTTTCATGTCAGTCAGTCCTTGGCAGATATTTTTATTCTAAAATACATGTAATTGAATTTCTACCAGAACCAGAGATGGGGACTCGAGTTTGAAACTCGGACTCGAGTGCGACTTAAGTCCCACACACAGTGACTTCAGACTCGACTCGAGACTCTTCCTCGAAAGACTTCAGACTCGACTCGGACTCGAGCTGCGGGACTCGTGAACAATGTTTATTTTTAGGAAACGTCTGATGAGCTCGCTGTTATCCCCCTCCCTCCGTTACCTATAACCTGCCTACGTAACCACGTACTACGTGGCCTATTGCTGGCAGTGCGCGCGCGACCACACATGAGAGGATAACAAACAAAAATGTCGACTGCACCGGCCGCTGCTGTGCCATTCATCGTTAGCTTTGGGGTTCAAAAACTTCAAACAAGACGCGCTCAAAAGAAGCGCTCAATGCAAAATATGCAGTCTCACAATAAAAGATTGTGGCTCAACTACATCTAATTTTATCAGGCATCTGAAAACGCACCCTGATAGGTGAGTAAACATGTTTAGCTCAGCATTGACCATCTACCGTTAGCTTGCTTATTGCTTTAGCTACCTAACGTTACGGGAGGTTAACTCCGACTGTCTTATGAAATATTAATGAGCGTTTGTTTAATTGCCAAACTTGTGGTGGTCGATTAACGTAACGTTAACGTTAATCATTTACGTGCCGCTGGCTGCCCGTTGTCTACAAACAGGTTACAGGATTATTGTTGATCATGTAACGTTACTGTTTCATTTAGTTATAACGTTACACTGGTTTGAGAGTCTGGGATGTGTTGACTTACAGTATATAAGCTATGATTAGTTGCATAGGCAGTGCAGCCAGAAGAAGCCAGAAATGTTTTGTGGCCCATACCTAGTGTGTTAAGAGAAGAGAAGGTTAACCAGTCTGATCTCACCCTTTGGATTTTTTTATTTCTAAGCATTTTGTTCTTAACAAGTTACATGCCATAAGTTGGTCAGTTGCTTCACATTTACACTAAAGATCTTGAGCATTTTAATGTTTTGGAAGTGCACTGTAGTGTTAAAAATTTCATTTGGATGCAATAGTTTATTTGCATTTAGCTACACTGATGTTTTGGACTAAATAGGAGTGTGTCAATTTTAGTGTTGTGAGTTATATCATTTTCTATATTTGGTCTTATGTCTTGGTATGTTCAAGCTACAAGGCAAAATAAAGAAATTAACTAAAAGTAAAGCATTCTTGGTGTTTTTGTCATGTTGCAATAGCCTGTTTACACTGATTATATACCAAATTCAAAGCTGATACTGTATGCTAATAGATAAAGGAGTCATAATAACATATGGTACCACTTTATTTTGATAGTCCACTTTAGACATTCTACTAACTATAAGTAACTTTGCAGCTGCATGTCAACTAACTCTCATTAGAGTATTAGTAGGCTGTCTGCTTAATATCTGCTAATTATATATTATAATATCTTATTTTGTTGGTTCCCCAACAGATATTCTACTGACTATAAATAACTTGGCAACTACAAGTCAACTTGTTCTCCAAACCCGAACCCACATCATAACCTGACAGTCTACTACAGTCTACTAATACTCTAATGAGACTTAGTTGACATGTAGTTGAAAATGTACATGGTTAGTAGAATGTCTAAAGTGGACTATCAAAATAAAGTGTAACCTACCATATTACATGCTTTGAATTCCTTATATAAAGCTATGCAGTGTTCTAAGCAACCTGGATGGGTCGCTGTACGTGATGCAACACTTATAACCACAAGAGACACAAGAGCCAGAGCGCCTGACATCAAAGCAAATTTAAAAGTGCTGGCTAATGCTAATCGTAAATTCTCTAAGATCATTATTCATGTCGGCACTAATGATGTTCGACTCCGCCAGTCGGAGATCACCAAAATTAATATTAAAGAGGTGTGTAAACTCGCAAGTACGATGTCAGGCACTGTAATTTGCTCTGGCCCCCTTCCTGTACGCAGGAGTGATGAGATAGTTAGCCGATTGGCCTCACTGAATGGTTGGCTGTCGAAGTGGTGTCCGCAGAATAATATAAAATTCATAAACAATTGGAAAAGTTTTTGGGGCAAGCCTGATCTGTTGAAAAGAGATGGTATCCATCCCTCCTGGGCTGGTGCTGCTCTTCTCTCTAGTAATTTGGCTCATAGTCTTAGAGCTAAAACATGACAATCTGGGGCTCAGGTCAGGAAGCAGACAGACTGGCTAAACCGACCGTCTGCTAGCGGCCTCACGTCACCAAGGTCAGATAAATCCCATCACATAGAGCCTCTTTCACCTAGATATCATCATATAGAGACTGTGTCTGTTCCCCGAATTTGGAAATC